CTATGGACTGTAAGGACGCCTTGGCGGGAGCGGAGGCAGGGGCAGGGGCACGGGCACGACTCGGTCCAGCGCTGGTTCCGTCACCGGACTTCTTCCGGAAGGTGCTGTCTTGGATGATCCAAATCTTTGTCATCTTCGTATCCGGGCCGGCGATGGAGATGTCGGCGGAGATGATGAGGTCCATGACGAGGAAGGCGTATGGCAAGCTCCGCTCAGTGGCGATGGAGGCGCAATCCGCCATGTGGATCATCACGCATTTCGCCCAATTGATGGAGGCGCCGTGGATGATGGCATGAATCGCCTTCAAGTCCTCGTTGAAGAGCGAGGTATGGCTGCTGTCCCGGGGGCGGAGAATCCGGGTGATGATGTAGAGGAGGAGGCGCTTGTCCGATGGGGCCGAGTGAATCGTCGGTGCGCCGCTGTGACGGATGAGGTTGGTGATCCCAAGCTCTCGGATGACCACCGCCTCGTTGTTGAGGATCCAATCATCGCCACCATAGGTTGCGATGTCGTCACCGCGGATGGGCAGCCCTGCGACCCGAGCGAAGGTAGCCAGATCAATCTCTATGTCGTAGAGATTGATGCTACTGCGAATGGTGTCCCCGTCTCGGCGGAGATTGGAGTAGAAGGCTCGCACAAAGGCGGGATTGAAGCTCGAGCGGCTCCTGGAGACGAACGACCACAGACCCGATGCTTGAAGCTGATTGTCGAGGTCGTGGTACCCCTTTTGTTGAGGGTACAACTCGGGCAGCACCCTAGGCGGAGAAATGGGACGCTTGGCAAAGTGCGTGAGGAACCGGTAGAGTTCCTCCTCCGACCCAAACTCAAGAAACGAGCCGTCCAGGTAGGGGAACGGCGGTGGCGTTGAGGTCGTAGCTTCGGTGTTGCCCTTCTTCTTGGAAACCTTTGTCTTCTTTCCTCCGGCCATAAATGAAGCAAAAAGATGAAGAATTGTGTAAAAGAGGAGATTTTGATGTGAAAAATGTATGTTAAAATGAGTAGAGATGAAGGATATATATAGGAAAGGGTGTGAAATTCGTTTGAAATTCAAAAAAGTGACTGTTGGGCAATAAGTTTGGTGACCAACGGTTAAAAAATTTGAATTGGCAGCAGGCTTCCTAGCGATGGGTGGAACTTCCCATCGATGGGAAGGTCGACACTGGAAAGTGAAGAAGAAAACAATGGCTGCCTTCCCAGCGATGTTTGCATTTGCCCATCGATGGGAAGGTGGCTTCTGGAAAAAGAACATGGCCTTCCCAGTGATGTTAATACCATCCCATCGCTGGTTTGGTATTTTTGAAAAACCGTTAAAGAATTTTTTAAAAAATAGTGTCAAATACCCAGCGATGGGAGGAGCTTCCCATCAATGGGTTTGGAGGTTCTGAAACAAAAACAGGAACTCACCCAGCGATGGGATAAACTACCCATCGATGGGTAAAGGCGTTCTGGAAATCTGAAAAAAAATTAAGTCAAACACCCAGCGATAGGAGAAAGTTCCCATCGATGGGTTGGGAGGTTCTGAAATTTTTTTTTTGATAAAAGTCCTTCACCCAGCGATGGGACAAAGTACCCATCGATGGGTTAGGGTGTTCTGGAAATCCGTTAAGTATTTTTAAAAATTAGAGTCAATTACCCATCGATGGGAAGAAGAACCCATCGATGGGAAGAGGGGTTCTGGAAAAAGAGAAACTTCCCTCCCAGCGATGGTATGGCCTACCCATCGCTGGTTCCCCCTGATTTCCGGAGTTCTTCACTTCGAACCGTCCCTGCAAAAAAGAGTTAGAAAACCCTCCGACGCTCAAGTTAGTAAACGTTCCATTAACAATAAAAGAATGATAAAATGCACAAATTAGATCATCGTGGAGTCAAGGATTCCGAGTTCGCTATGAATGCGGAAGAACGACTCTTTCTCTAAAGGTTTTGTGAAAATGTCGGCCAATTGGTTGTGTGTTTCAACAAACTCAATTTCGACATCACCTTTGAGAACATGATCTCTAATGAAATGGTGCCTAATGTCAATGTGTTTCGTCCTTGAATGAAGAACGGGGTTCTTCGTCAAGCTAATGGCGCTAGTATTGTCACAACGAAGAGGAACGTGACTGATACTAAGGCCATAGTCCACGAGTTGTTGCTTCATCCAAAGGATTTGAGCACAACAACTACCGGCGGCAACGTATTCCGCTTCGGTTGTGGATAACGCAACACTGACTTGTTTNNTTGCTAAACCATGAAACTAAAGAACTACCAAGTAAGTGGCAAGTCCCACTTGTACTTTTGCGGTCCAATTTGCAACCGGCAAAGTCCGAGTCGGAGTAGCCAACGAGAAGACACGAAGAGCCTTTTGGATACCACAGTCCAACGTTGACCGTGCCGGCAAGGTATTTCATGATCCGTTTCACCGCGATTAAGTGCGATTCCTTCGGACATGATTGATACCTCACGCAAAGGCATACGCTAAACATGATATCCGGCCTACTAGCGGTAAGATAGAGAAGGGATCCGATCATACCTCGATACTTTTTGACTTCTACTTCCTTACCTTTCTCGTCTTTGTCAAGATGGTCAGACGTGCTCATCGGGGTCGCCAATGAACGTTCCATCTTTCATTTGCTTAACTTGGAGTCCCAAAAAGAATGTGAGCTCGCCCATCATTGACATTTCAAATTCGCTAGTCATGAGCGTTGAGAATTCTTTGCACAAAGACTCGTTAGTAGCACCGAATATAATGTCGTCTACATAAACTTGAACCAAAAGGATGTTATTGTTTTTACTCTTGATAAAAAGTGTAGTGTCAACCTTTCCCCTTTGGAAACCACTATCCAAAAGGAATTTACTCAAACGTTCGTACCAAGCACGTTGTGCTTGTTTAAGACCGTAGAGCGCTTTCTTGAGTTTGAAGACGTGATCGGGAAACTCAAAGTCCTCAAACCCCGGGGGCTGATCAACATACACTTCCTCTTGAATAAAACCATTGAGGAAGGCACTCTTAACATCCATTTGATAAAGTTTAAAATCCATAGACGAAGCAAAAGCAAGAAGTAAACGAATAGCTTCTAAACATGCTACAGGTGCATACGTTTCTTCAAAATCAATGCCTTCTTCTTGATTGTAGCCTTTAGCTACAAGCCTAGCTTTGTTTCTAGTGATTATTCCATTTTCATCAAGTTTGTTACGGAACACCCATTTCGTACCAATAATCGTACGATCATCGGGCCTTGGCACCAATTCCCAAACGTCCTTTCGTTTGAATTGGTTTAGTTCCTCTTGCATAGCCAAGGTCCAATGTTCATCATTTATTGCTTCGGAAATGGTTGTAGGTTCAATTTGAGATACAAAAGCCATGTGTCCTACGGTGTCCCTAAGAGAGTTACGAGTACTTACCCCGTGGTTAATGCTGCCGATTACCTGGTCAAGTGGATGGTTCCTGTGCGTTCTCCAAGCTATGGGAAGCTCGGTTGTTTCTTCTTCGTGTTCCTCTTGTCCTTCTTCTTCCTCCTGATTTTCTTCCTCACCTTGGTTAGTCGTTTGAGGTATCTCCTCAGTTTGCGGGTGTGTGTTGATGTATATTCCGGTGTTGTCTTCATCGTCATCAACATGTATTCTTTCTAATGATTCTGCAACGTCATCACAAATATCCTTTCTCACCAAGCGAGGGTTATCTTCGGAGAATACAACGTGAGGAGACTCCTCAATAGTCAAAGTACGTTTATTGAAGACTCTATAAGCCTTGCTACGTAATGAGTAACCCAGAAAAATTCCTTCATCCGACTTGGCATCAAATTTGCCTAAATTGTCTTTGCCATTGTTGTGAATAAAACATTTGCAGCCAAAGACTCGAAGATG